TGCCGCTTTATTACACCATATCTTTGATATGTATACAACAAAAAAAAAGAAAAAGCATACTTAACTGTATTTTTTTTATGTAAATAATAGCGTTTATTTTTAGAACACCTGATTTTTATTAGTTATTCGCAACAATTACAAATATTTTTTTGTAGTTTTAAACCTTTTTTCTTGGCTTATATTTCACCAAATTCTTTCTGCTATTTATCATTTTTTTTTTTGTGACGCTAAAAATGCCAGTGTTTATTCCATCTAAACTTTTTTTTTCTTACCATTTTGAGACGCCAAAACTATTGATGTCAAAAGAAATTGGATGAATAATTGAGTAAAAAAGTGCAATTTATTATTTTCAAAATACTTACGTCAAAAAACCATCTATCATAGTCATAACCTTTTGTATTTTTTTCTTTGAAACAATAACCCAACTAATTTATAACAAATAGGAGATTGTTCTTATAAAACTGAGACTATTCATATCACACTTGTATATTCTTTAGAAACAATCGCTTTTTTTTCTCTAACAGTTGAAACAAAACAATGCCATATAATCGACAAATACTGTTTTCTGCAGATGAAATGTGTTATAAAAAATTCATGTGTAGTTTAGCTGCTATTATACAGCCAAATTTGAAACAGACAATCATTATCTGTACTTGAAAAAAAACTGAAAATTTTTTATCAAACAACTTTATTTTTTTACAGCTTTCTATTCTATAAAAAATAAATATCAAAAATAGTTGTATACACTAATTGATTAAAACTGTAAATATTTTTGAGAATAAGAAGCGTTTAAAGATAGTAATTTGCATAATAAAAATTTACAAATTGATGTTGTTTAGCAGTAATTTACTGTTACTGCAATGTTCAAATAATAACCTAAATTTATTTGTATTGTAAATAAACATTTTAACAAAACAATATATTTGGTTTTACAGAAATAATTGGTTTGTGCCTATTAAAACAATACCAAACAATTAACTAATGTCAAAAAGGTTTATTTATTTTTATCAAAGTCAGATTATCTGCTAAACAGACAAATCGCTAAGATATTTATCAAATGTTAACATTCAAAAATTTAAGATCAATTAATAGTTGTTAACTGTTTGAAAGACAATTGTTATAGTTAAATGAATTTTCACATGTCATATAAAAAATTCAGATGCAACTTTTTGTTTTTCTCATTCACAGATCACTTATACAGTTGCAGTGTTTACTTTTGTCAATGAATTGATACATTTGAAAACAAAAAAATTATGCAGAAGTAGATGAATTTAGACTGGTATGTAGCTACAAAAATGTAGTTATTTAATAGAGTCATTTTTATACCATGCAGTTATTTGTTTTATAGTAGACAGGAGAAAAAAAAATTTTCTGTTTATCAGTAAATTTTCAGAATGCTCAAATGTTTCTTCTGTTTAAAATAAACACCAAAAACAGCAGTGGTAGCTGCAACTTACAATTCTGTGTAAACAATTCAGCTCTACAATTGGTACGTTATTTTTGACCACTTCACATACAGACTTCAAACTTGTTGTCAATGTGTCAATACAACTGTTCTCCATTATACGTTATCATCGTTCGCTTAAGAATAGAATGTATTATATTTGAGAAAAAAAAGGACTTTTCAACTACAACTGGTAACTAACACATTTTGCTAGTTAGTACTTTAGGTTTGATAATGCGAACTAATTGTACAATTACAGCTGACCAAATGATATTCTCAGTAAAAACTGCTACTTTATTAACGTTGTAAAACAGTTTCAATTGTAATTTGTCCTAAGTTTCAGTTTTCTTATGCTTAATGATTAATTGCTCTGGAGATTAACCGATTTAATTTTTAATTATTCAAAATTTTTTTCAAAACAATTACCAGTGTTATTGTGCATATATACTGGTAGAATATTTCAAGATAATTTTATAACTTTATATACAGTTTATTATTAGATGATAAACAATGTCGTAAGGATCAATAATGATAATAATAATAATAATAATAATAATAATAATAATAATAATCATAAGAAGAGTTTTAAATGAGCATTGATATTAATAACTGCAGTGTTAAGACAATTGTCATAAAGTATCGAACATTGATAGATTTGAACGTTTTTTTCCTTTATTGTCAACTAAACAAAAGCACAAATCTGCTTTTTTGGTTGCAGCTTAATTTTAAACTGTTTTCAAAAGACCAATAAGTCTTCTAAGAAACAGTGAAAAACAATAGTATTCAAGAGTAATCTATAGGTGGTGTG